GATGAGACAAGCCCTCTTGCAGACACTGATTCTTGAAGATGGGATAGGTAAGGAAGAACCTGGTTGGGGAACAGCTTCATGTGGCTACAGATGTGACTAGCAGAAGTAAGGCCTGAATCTTGGAATATATATATATATATATATATATATATATATATATATATATATATATTTCAAGGTTTAAGTGGATGGATCCATGTAACCAAATGCCTTGCATTTTCAGAGTTAATTATTTCATGTGCTACTTTCTGACAAGCCACATTTTAAACAGAGTAGCTACTTTTCCAAGGTGTTAATATACTTGTTTGGTTAAAATGTTATAAAATGGAACCACTTCAGGATCCTGACCTTATACTAGACACTATTTGTGTTTAACTGCCTTTATTCCCCTTCTGATCATGGAACAGGGCCTGTGCTTGCTAGACAAGCACTCTTACCACCGGAGTCACACCTTAGCTTAATTACTATATGTAGAGAATTGCTACAAAACTAGTTGATATAAAACCTAAAAATGTCTAGACATAATAGCTGAAGTGAATTTGATAGCTTTATTTTTTATAAAAGAATTATCATTTATCTCCACATGAGTGTTACTGTTCTCTACTTTCAGTGGAGGCACAGAAAATCTGTGTCATGGAATTCTAAAAGTATGAACAAACTATCTTAGGACCAAATCCTGTATGCTCAACAATGGTGCAGTTCTGCCCAAAACTTGCAATGCAGCTAGGTTAATGAGACTTTGACTAATGATAGTACCTTAGGGATGGGCAATGCTGAGCTTTAATAATATCAAGAACATAAAGGTTTTTGGATCTTTTAACCTAATTCCATGCCATCTTTAAGTGCCTACTGTGTGCTGCACTATATTCAACTTTGGGGACACAAAAAGGAATAGGATAAAATCTCCCTATAAGGATAAAATCTTACAATTTAGATTGGTAGTGTACAGTACAATTAAGTGAACTGCATACTTTGTACCAAGACCAATATAGATTATTCTTCCAAAATTACTCCATTTGGCCTTATAAGTATTTACAAGCCTTTGAAATGTTCCTGTGCATGCATTTTCTTAGTCATTGTTTATCCAGGGACACATAAAATCAACATTACTTCCTGTTTCTTGTCCAGTCAGAGGGATTACTCATAATTTAAAAACATTCTCCAATAACTACTTCAACATGGAGTATGTATAAATATAAAGTTTATTTAGCATAGTGTTTAGAAAAATAAGTTCACATCATTTCAGAAAACAAATAAAACACTTAATTGTCCAGGCAAAAATCCCCATTACAGTACAACATACATACTTTAGATCTCTTTGGTTGGGTAATTAAGCACAGAAATGTTCTGGGACATGCTCTGTGTGCCATCCCCTAACAAGTGCAGTAAAGTCTATGTTCCCCTACCCCATGACATACATTCTGTGTAGAGTTTTGCTTTGAGTAAGGCACAGTAAAACCACAGAGTGCATAACCGGTTGCCTCTAAACATACAGTACATGCAGCAAAAGAATAGTTTTGAGAACCCTGAAAGCCAAAAGTCACATGCTATATCATTTTGATTCATAAAACATACAGTGGTAATATTTAACTTGAACTGTATCAATTAGATACAAAATAACCATTAGGCTCTATTGTCTAAGTTTTTAGGAAGAGTTTGAAATCATGTTTTTATAAAATATAAACCTTTCCCCCAGTTTTCCTGAATTGTTTTTATGAGATGATCCATCAAAACAGAACTTGTGGCTATGTAGACGCACACTTGGCTAGGATATAGCAGGGCAAGCCCCTACACATGCCCGCTGATCCAACTGTTCACATGCAAGGTAAGATTTAAGTTCAGTGTGCAGTTTAACTATGGATTAAAACAACAATAACAACAATCTATGGCTATAATAGCTATCTGCCTTTCACAAACATGAAAGACACTGAAATGTGTGTATAATTCAGCCTTTACTATAAATATACATGAGATGTAATGCAGTACAACACAGGTGCTCTTGCTTACTTGAGGTACAAGTGCACCTTCTCTTTAAATGATAGACCATCCTATCTAAGATGTAATTCAGAGCTATATTGTCATTGCTGACTGATAGAGTGCATAGACAGGCCAACTCCAAAAACAATTCTCACAGCCAGCAGCAGGGGTTGGGTTTTAATGGGAGTTATTTGCCTCTTTGTGATTCCTCTTCAGGGATCATCAGAGGGTCACTTGCAGCATCTTCAAGCATTGGTTTATGTAAGAAGGATATTCTGTCACATGAATTCTAAGGGTCCTGAGTCTGGCCCTTAGTATTAAAAACAACAACAACAACAAACCCAGAAACAAACAAACAGAAAAACCCTGCAACTCTGTGCAAGATCACGGGGTTTATATTATTCCATTCACATATATATGGGCTACATATCAACTGGCCCATATTTTACTGAAAGAGTAGGAAAGAACTGTAAGTTCTTAATAATGTGCATTGATCCTTACCTGGTATATTGTGTAGCTACCTGGAGAAATAGTAGGGTTATAATTATATCATGTTGGAGGATATGAATGTGTTTCCTAGGTAAGAGTTAAGCTTTGTGCTATGTTTTCTTTCTCAAAAGGGAGGAAAGAGGAAGAACTCTGAATAAGAGACTTACTATATTTTTGGAAGACATATAAAACTTTTCCAGTTATATATATGTAACATATATAACCTTTTAAATCTTCCTCTCTCCCTTACTGGATAGTATTTTTAAATAATTAACAAACTCTTAACATCTGCAGCAATCAAAAGAGGAAAACATCCTTTTTTATGTAAACTATACTACAGATTCATGTAATTATTCTCAATAACATGGTCAACACACAACCAAAGAAGGGGGAAAAACAAAACAAAACACCAAGCTGTATTAGTAGTGGAAAAGTGGAAGAGAACTCTAAACACCTGACTGTGTAAAAAACAAAAACAAAAACATGTCCTCTCAGCAGTTTAGGACATTCACTAATTCCATTAGAAAAATGGGACCTAAGTTCTTTATCAAAATGATGGGTGAGAAGCTGGTCATTGATAGCTCATTCCTGTAATCCTAGGTATGCAAGAGGCTGAAATCTGAGGATTGTGGTTCAAAGCCAGCCTAGGCAGGTAAGTCTGTGAGACTCTTATCTCCAATTAATCACAGAAGAAAAAAAAAAGTGGAGCTGTGGCCCAAGTGGTAGAGTGCTAGCTTTGAGCAGAAGATACTCAAGGACAGAGCCAGAGTTCAAGCTCCAGGACCAGAAAAAAAAAAAAAAAGGGTTGGGAGAAGAAATCTTCATAGGACTCTTTGTCTATGCTTCAGGTTGTATTTGTAGTAACAGCATAGAGTAAGTAGTCTAGGGCCCTTATTAACATGCTTAGCTGCTGGGCTTGTAGAGATCTAAATGTACCCTTTGACCTCATCCTAAAGAAAGCATGATAATATTTTTGCTTAATAATCATAGGCCATCTCTGAAAAGATCATTTTCTCACTTTTCTGGCTTTTTCTGGAGATCACAGAGTAATCACTACATAAATGTATTTGCATTATTACATCTTGCATTCAATATCCTGATTAAAAAAAACTTTAAACACAGCTAATATTATCAAACATAATTCTTACAGAAAACCAACAGATCTGTTTTGAAAGAAGAGATGAAAATGTAGTGCAAATAGTAATGTGTCATAGTTAACAACCAATTCAAAACAGGGAAGATGAAAGGATAACTGGACAGAATTCGTGAATTCTATTTATGTTACTTTAAAATGGTTTTTATAGCCTGTAGAATTGATTTTATGTGCTCTTCTATGATTTATTAGTTTTACTGTCATGAAAGCCATCAATAATAGTTGGTTACTCATTTGTATGATGTTATACATAATACTTGGGGAAACTTAAGTTCTCCAGATTTAAAAAAAATTCTGTGATAGAAATTAACCCTGTTAATTTAGATAGTAGGAAAAAAAATAAAACCATCAGTGCTTCTGTTGATACTTCTGTACCTTACTACTAATATAAAAAGGCCACAAGGTAAAAAGGCACATAGAATTCTATATAAAACATATTTAAATGAACCAGAGTTGCTAAACAAAGATGTGAAAGAAAAGTACCAAAATTCCAATATTGGGAGTTAAGCGTTAATGTTTCAGTGTTATTAATATTGACCATAATAGACTCCTAATAAAAATCATTGCTTTTAAAATCCTACAAAAAGTAAAACTTTGTTGGAAACAAAGCTGTTCACTTCCTGTTCAAACAATAAAAATAAATTAAACAGTAAGAAAGCATTTTTTCTTTTCAGTTCATAGCGCCCGAAGTATAAGAGAAACACACAGTATAAATAAAATTTGCTGTACTCACTCAAATCCTGCTTATAGAATTGAGATTATATTTACATTCACACTGAAGCCTGTTTCAGTTTTTAGTGGAGTTTCAAACTTTCTTAGTCACATTAAACTATTAGCAGTCACATTTGGAAATGTGTGGAGACTTAAAACCAAGACTTTCTAAAAAATGCTGAAAAACATAAATGTATGTATGCATGTACATATACATATATATATATATATATATTTAAACTACTTAACTTCCAAAATATAGTCTTATAATAGTTTGGAGTACCATTTATGTTCCTTAATCAGATCAATGCCCATGAAGTAAAGTAAACAAAAACAAATTGCATTGTTTCTAATAGTCTATACCTATATTTAATTTCCTATTGTTAGATGTATATACTTTCAATATAAAAAATGATCAAGTTTCACTTCAACCTTAGACCTGTATTGCCAACTAAATGGCATATTCTCACTTGACACACTTCATCTTATTCCTTCCTTGCTATCTCCTTAGAGATTATATGTGAACACAAAGGCAGTGCTAATGCATTTCTGCTCCTGTGTAGTTAACTGTGGTCTTCATGCAGATCAACCCAAAGTCTTTTTTGAATGCAATTATTTGCACAATTAGATTGTTTTCCTTTAAATGGGAAAATGCTTTATGTTTTGGAGCTTCATGCAACAATTTGTTGCTGATGCCAACAGAAATGTTAGTGTGTGTGTGTGTGTGTGTGTGTGTGTTGGGAAGGGGGTGTATGCAACAATGTTTATAAGTCTTGCATATCTTCATCCAATTGGACAGTCTGAAGCTTGGCCAGTTCCTTTTTGTCTGTTTCCAGGTCTTCACAGACAGTCTCAACCATGCCATCTAAGACATACTTGGATTTAGAGTCCAACATCATTAAGATACTTGTGGCTTTGCTGTCAGAATTTTGTAATAAATTCTCTTTTATGTTAGCTACTGATTGCAGAACCAAACGATGTTCTCGGACAAAATCCTGGTGTACTGCTGGGGAGGCATGACCCACTTGGTCTTCAGCTGCAGGAACTATTTCTCCAAGGGCTGCCTGGGTCATAGGAACTGACAGTAGGTCTTGACCAGCAATCAGGGAGCAGTTCTGAAGAGTTGCATAGTTAGTGTTGCTGACAGATGTCACAGTAGATTTGCTTGCCACAGGTGTAGACATTGGCTGGTTATCAGCAATGTCAGGGTTTAACTCAGTGGGATTTAGTAGCAGAGGGGGAGTTAGGGAAAAATTGTGAGTGGGGGATACATTAACTAAGGAGGAGGCCAATGAATGGAGGCTGCTCCCGGAGATATTTTCTGATGAGAGGTTTGCATTTGCTTGTGTATTCTGATTGACAGGCATCAGCTGAGAAAACACCAGGCTTCTTTCTAAGCCTTCCTGTTTCACAGATCCTACAGTCTGGCCTGAATTAGGAACAGTGTAGACCACTGCACTGGGAGCAAGAGAGCTCAAGAAAATCTTTCCTTGCTGGACTGTGGCAGACTCGCTTGTAAATGTGCTCCCATCTGAAGTGCTTGAATTTACTGAAACATTACCTAGGAAAAAATGAAGTAACAATTAACAGGAATAGAAATAATCAGGACCAAAGAGCTACTTTACGCACTCTTTTCCTCATGAAAAGTGGTATTTCCATGTAATAGTTTAGCTCAATCATTCTGAACAGATTTCCAGGACACAGACAGACAGACAGACACACACACACACACACACACACAGACATATACATATACACAGTCTAGAAGAGCAATAGCATTGTTTTGAACCATAGCTCCACTTCAAAGCTTTTTGGTGGTTAACTGGAGATAAGAGCCTTAGGGACTTTCCAGCCAGGACTGGCTTTAAACCCCAGTCCTCAGATCTCAGCCTTCAGAGTAGCTAAGATTATAGGTTTGAGCCACCAATGCTGGGCTAGCAATCGCAATAATTTTATTTCCCCCAAGTAATTCTGAGGAAAGTGAGAACTACAAGTCTAGAAACCAAGTGTACAGGCTTGGGAAGAAGCTCAGTGGTAAAGCACTTGGCTAAGCTCAATCAAGACAAAAAGAAAACAAGAAAATAAGTAGACTAACATAGCCAATAATCCTAGAACAAGAGGCGGAGGCATGAGGATAATGAACTTGAAGACAACCTTGATTACATAGTGAGTGTCTATCTAAAAAAAAAAAAAACCTCTCGAAAATTAAAGAAAAAGAAAAAACAAAAAATGCTTCAAATCAAGTGTGAAAAAAAGAAATACCATTCAGGTTCTAATTTCAGCCGTTTTGGTTTATGAACTTGACATCTCTTAATTGAGTTATCATTAGCCCTGCCAGTTAGAACTAGAGACCATAAATGCAAAGTAAAAATGTCTTGTTTACTCAGTAACGACATAAAATACAAGTGGAAATGTAGAAATACCACATAAAATGAGTTTCCATAGGGCTTAAAAGTTAACCACATAAACCTGTTCAGACAAGTCGCAAACTTTCACCAAACTAGCCATAAAGTAACATCAAGCCAACAAAACATTCAAAAGGTTTTTCATCTTTTGTTGTCCTAGTTCTGGAGTTTTAGTGTTGCAGAGATAGAAAAAATTAATAACAATGACATGTGCTTTTAAAAATACATATTAAATAAAATAAAGACCAAAGCTAATGCTTCTCTAAAAGGCTCTCATTATAATGGCCTATAGAGACAAGAAGTAGAAAAAGAAATGTAAGTGGAAAGCAAGAGATGTTCACGTCAGATTAACTCAAAATAAATGACTTAGATTGCTCCCCCAGTCTCTATCAAATAAAATGCTTTTCCGAGTCCTTACAAAGACAGAAATTAGATGATACAGAGCCCCACATCCTGCCGTTGAAAGAAAGGTGAATTTGAGGGGAGTTTTGTAATAGAAATCAAATAGGCTATTTACCCTAACCTTCAATTAGATAGATGTTCAGTCAATCCTTCACTATTTGAGAAAACAGCCCTATGTTAAATTAGGTAATTCCCTTAAAACATTTCCCTTCTTATATCAGAACTGTGATTACATTGCCATCTACAGTGATAAAATAAGAGTCACAGAGTTGCTTATAATCTTCCAAGCATTCTCAAGCACCCTGATGTAAAATCATGTCTTTAAATGAGGGAAAAAGATGAAATACTGTATTTGAACTCCTTTTAAAACTGTAATGATCAGAAAGAATTCCTCACAGAAATAATCCTCATTAGTGTTTAAAATAAAAATACTAGTTGGTACATTTGGGCTATCTCCTAACAAATTTATTATTTCTTTTTTCAAATTACACAAACATAAAAACCTGCTTAATTTGAAAATATTTGGCCTCAACCTAATTATGTCTTATAGGCTACTAAAGTGCAACAAAAAACATCTGAAAAAGCTGCTTGTTTTGTTTTGTATATTTGTAAAATTGCGTAGCAGTACATATGAACTAAATGATTAGTGACTTTCTGATAGAACCATAAGTAACAATAGAGGCAACTTTTTTCCCAATGGCAATGGTATGCAAGCAAAATGATTATTTCTGTATGTGAAAAAAGTATAACATATAAACAAAGGAGAAAAGACATGTTTTAAAAGATCATTTTAAAGTATAGCTGCAACTGAGTTATAAGTAGAAACTCAAAAATCAGTAAAATGAGCTGAAAAATCTTGATTACAAAGCCTAACTTTGTAATGAAGATTAAAAACCCTCATTTTTTTTTCTAAGATTATAAAGTAGTAAGAGCTTTACACCTGTATTCCTAGCTACTCAGGAGGCTGAGATCTGAAGATCATGGTTTGAAGCCAGCATAGGCCAAAAAGTCGGTGAGACTATCTCCAATTAATCAGCAAAATGTCAGAGTGGAGGTGTGACTCAAGTGGTAGTGCATCAGCCTTCAGGAAAAAAAGTTAGCTGAGAATGGGAGGCCTTGAATTCAAGCCTGCATACTGGCACAAAAATAAAGAAAAATTGAAAGAAAGTTATAAAAGATAGATACATAGGCTCAATGATAGCCAAGACAAGTGTATCTTGCCTAGAGATTTTAGGCTTAGTTTGTTTTTCGAGAAAGTCCAAATCCCGAAATGCTTTATTGAGGACTGAAATCCACAACTACTCTAAATGAACATTGCTTGCTGGACAAATCTGGTTAGACTTATACCTTCAATTTACCCAATCTAAAGATTGACAGCTGCCATTTGGTTTTAGCTAATTTAACTGGTAAATCTGTTCTTATTTTTACTCTGTATCTAATTTAAAAATTAACTATTAGCTCACAATGATTTTCTATGATACCACTTTTTCTAGATTAAAAATGAAAAGTATTTTTGACATATTTACTCATACTTTTTGCTCAAATTTGTCATTACATTTCTTAAAGAGGGAAAGTGTAAGATCTATATTGAATTATTGTAAAACTAAGCACTTTGGCTTTCTCTGTGGATTTTGTATTCTTTCCCTAGGGATAAGCACTTAGCTTAAGTCTATAACCTGGAGCATAGAATGATGTAAGGTTGTTACTACTATTTACCTAAAGAGAAACAAAATATACTGGATGAAACTTAAAATCATCTTTCTATGAGCGCATCCAAAAAAGCTGAAGTTGATCATAGTTGTAGAAACAACAGATTTGGGCATTAATTGACTTTTGTTTTGTAAAACTATCCTACAGAGAGACGATTGGTTAAGGCTAGCAATTTAAAGGCACACGTGCACCAATATATCCCAATCCTAAATTGAATATCAAGTGTGCACCCTCTACTGCTACATTCTTACCAATCAAGAACTGACCTATCATGCTCCGGATTCCTGAATTTCAAGTCAGTGCTTTCTCTGGCTGCTTGCTATCAGTAAAGCCACAGACATACACAGTAAAGTTTATGACTTTAAATAAATAAACCTATATTTAGATGACCATATACCTAAAGTAATAGAAACCTATGCAAGCCAAATGCTGGTGGCTCTTGCCTCTAATCCAAGCTACTTAGGAGGCTGAGATCTGAAGATTGTGGTTTGAAGCCAGCCTGGGCAGGAAAAGTCCATAAGACTCTTGTCTCCAATTTAATTAGCAAAACACCAGAAGTAGAGCTGTAGCTCAAGTGGTAGCACACCAGCCTTGAGTGAAAAAGCTCAAGAGCAGACCCAGGCTCTGATTTCAAATCCCAGCACCAATACACATACACAGAAAAAGGAAAGAAAGGAGGAGGGGAGGTGGGAAGGAGGGAAGGAAGGAAGGGAGGAGGGAAGGAAGGAAGGAAGGAAGGAAGGAAAGGAGGTAGGGAGGAAAGGAAAGAAGAGGGAGGGAGGGAAGAAAGAAGGGAGGGAGAGAGGAAAAAGAGAGGAAGGGAGAAGAAATCTAATCATATGTTCCTCTGGAGATCTTTTCAGGTTTTAGTCTTAATTATAGGAAGGAATATGATTTTTAAAAATAGAGTTGGTCTTTTTAGCTTATTCTTTTACATTCCTTGCCAAATAAATAATGCTTAAGCTTAATGCTTACCAACTATTTGACTAACTTTGTGTTCTTAGCAGTGTTATTAATTTTTAATTTTAAAATGTCAAGTAGTGGGTTCTTTTGTAAGCACTGATAAATATGATAAAGGCTTATTGTATTTCTATAATTGTACAACTGGCAAGACTTTTGATAAGCTGTAGTTTTCCATTCAGTTTTGGGAAAATGAAAGCCCATCTTCCGGATGTGAGGGAACTAAGCAAGCAGGCTGTAACACAACTGTTGTGTTAGGAGACTTTTTTTTTGGGGGGGGGTCCGGTTGTGGGGCCTGAACTCTGGGCCTGGGCGCTGCCCCTCAGCTCAAGGCTAGCGTTCTACCACTTAAGCCACAGCGCCACTTCCAGCTTTTTTCTTTTTTCTTTTGTGGTGCTGAGGAATCGAACCCAGGGCTCCAGGCATGCAAGGCAAGTGCTCTACCACTGAGCCACCTTCCCAGCCCATGAAGAAGACTCTTATCAATGCTATTCTGCAGCTGTGGAGAGCCAATGGGATTCCTGAACAGTAACATCAATTCATACTTCTCAATAAATGCGTCATTTATAACAGCTGACCAACACATTCACTATTATGATACCAAATGAGACTTTTACCTTGTGATGCTGCCACTGAGACAGGAGGCAGCTGCAGTGGAGAGAATCCAATGCTCCCATTAAGGAACTGGCTGTTTGTTCCGGAATTAGGGATCTGGACAATGCCATATTGGTTAATTTGAACTGGTGTAGTAAAAGTCACTACAGAGCCCCCATCCTGGGAAGCTGCTGCTTGAATGTCTTCTCTTTTCACCTCAGTGCTAGGTATCAGCCCAGAGAATGACACAGGGGCACTGGGGCTGTATGCGGTGGTGGCTGCTGAATTCGCTTCAGAACTCTGGAGGACTTTGAATTCCTTTACATCCTGGGAGGTAGATCCCAGTATGTCAGTCATGGCCATACCATTGCTCACAATGTTCGAAGACATTTTGGGTGGGTTCAGTGACACTGTCTGTGCACTCCCCACATTTAACCCATTAAGGATAACTCCATTGTGTCCCTGAATAAGAGAATTACCATTAAGGAAAACAGGTGAAGTATTTGTAGGTACCAAGCTTCCATTCAACAAAACACCAGAAGAGCTTAACGATATCTTAGCATTTCCAATTTGCTGCATGTATACTGGTTCCATGTGACTAGAAAGGCTGAGGTTGGTGACGCCATCTGAAGAACCTGAGATTGAGTGTGGAGACAAATCCTCATGACCCTTGCTGCATTCATCTTCAGTGCTGGGATTGCCATCCGACTCACTGTGTGGAGAGGGAAATCAAGTCATTCAGAAGGTCAAGGGAGGACAAGTTAGATAGTTTGGAAAACAGCCTTTAAACCCATTAAAGGAAGTATTTAAGGAAAGCACAGCAGGATGTCTTCTAGTCCTGGTTTCACTAGGAAGCCTTTCAGTAGATTCTGACACGCCAGACAATGTGGGAAGATGAACTCTCAGCTTCAAATCAGTTAAGTAAGGTGGTCAGGCTTTCCTATTTAGGAATGTCTTCCCCTCCCTCAAACCATCAAACCAAATTAGCGTTGTTTTAGAGAGAGATGAATTGCCAAAGGACTGGGAGCTGTGAAGTGTTTAGCTTTTTTTTTTTTTGGCCAGCTAACAGGAGACCCTTTTTCTCACCTGCTCCCAAACTTTCATTCCACCAGACTGACAACTCTCATTCAACAAAGTGGCTGTCCTTGTTGTAGGAAAGACACTTTAAACCCAAGAACAGTTATGTGCAGTCGCTTTTGAATCCAAAGGAGGCCATGAGGGCTTGCTTATTTTAGCAAATACCGTCCTGTGCCCTGGTGAGGTGGGAGGGAAAGGATAGTTACCTAGCGGCCAAGTAACTATCAGACCCTTCCCAGAGTCCTCAGTGCTGTTTCAGGCAAGACTAGGTCTGCTTCCCGACTCGGGGGCAAGACCTAGTCTGGGTGTTGAGAGATGCTGAGGAGGCTTTTCGCCATTAGGATCCTAGCTGGGGGTTGGGGTGGGGCAGGGCAGAGGCAGTTTGAAAGCCCAGTGAGAGTCTTGGCCCAGCAGAGGAGCCAGGATGGGATCCTACATCCCAGCAAAGGCCCCGCGGTATGCTGCTCACTTTCAAGCGGAGGAGAAGGGAGGGGATTAGCCTGGCTTTGGGCTGCGGGGCCAGGAGCGCAGAAAGCGCTTTGATTTATGAGCTGAGGCTGAGCCGCAGTCGCCGTCTGCGAGGGTGACTCACCAGGGTGCAGGTGGGAGGTAGATCCGGAGAGGGGGGTCTAAACTAGGCAACTGGGCCTGGGGTGGGAATGTGGAGTTAATGGAGGGGGGCAGATTGTGGCAGCGCGGGGGAGAGAGAAGGACAGGACTCAGGGAACAAGCCTGGGCTGCAGGGCAGCTGGCCTGCCCGCGGCCTAGCAGATCGGTGCCCGGAGCGCCGGGATCCGCGTCTTCTAGCAGGCGCAGGGACAGGTGACCTAACTTAGGCGGCTTCTCGGAGTTTCTAAGTCTGTGGAGGGCGCGCGTTTTGTGTATGGTTACTGCGAAGCCCGGCGGCGGCCCCCCGCGCGCCTCTCTCCCTGCCCCGGGCGAGGAACGCGGCAGCCGTCGGGGCCCCGCCGCCCAGCCCCGGCCGAGCGCGCGCAGGAGCCGCCGCCGCAAGGGCGCGCCGCCCGGCTCTGGAATGCGCCGGTGATCACCTTCACCTGGCCCAGGCCGGCCCCGGCTCCTCCGCGGCTCCCACATTCCTTCCCGGAGAAGAATTTTAAGAGCTGCGTGCGGATGATCTTTTCTCTCCGATCCCCGCAAGGACGGCAACAGCCTTTCTGAAGACGATCCTTTTCCGTACTCTACTCTGTCCAGCCATACACCACACACCCCAAGTGTCTGACTGCCGGAGAACACACAAAAGAGGTGCCAACCCGGGCACTTTCTACTGGAACGGTGGAGGGAGGGGGGGGCCCCAGGAGGAACCTGCCAGTCAAAAAGTTCAAACGTGATAAAGTGGGGGGCCCCCAAAGGGACCCGGATGGACGGCGCCCCACGTTTTCTTCCTTCAGTCCGCCTAGTGCCCGGCTGCCTCTCACCCCCAACTACCCTCTCAAGAAAGGGAGTCACGTAGAGTTTAGGGGGCCTAAGAAAAGGCCCCAAAGCCCTGCTACCCCGCGGCGCTGAAACCCGAGCCGAAGTTGTTCAGAATCAGGTTTCAAAACACACGGAGCCGAGCCGCACCGGCACCTCGCGTTGCCACGGCAGCCACGGGAACCAAGCGGGCCGGGTGAATGATTAACTCTGTCACATTAAAACCCCGTGGTCCCCAGACCCCTCTAGGGCCGCCAGCACCCGCCCCCCGCCCGAGCGCTCTCTTCCCTCCACAGCGACCCCCGCGACCTCCAGGACCCACGGGCCTGGGGCTCAGCCCAACCCTGAAGACCGTGGCCAGGTCTGATCGACCCGGGAGCTGGGGGGACAGACCCTCGCCCGCAGCCTGAGCCGGCCTGGAGGGGGTGGGGGGTGAGAGCTGCCCGGCCGGCGTCACACCCGCTTCCTGCGCCCGGCTACAGCCGGGGAGAGAGTGGCAACTTCAAAGCCAGCGCGTTGGGGGTGGGAAGCCGGGCAGCGGTGACCGGGCGAGGTGGGGGCGGGGACTGAGACCTAGGCGAGCGACCAGAAACTTCTGGGGGCTGGAGAGGGGGGGGAGGGAGGGTAAGGAGAGAGGCTCTCCCCTCCCACTCCCTTCTCTGGGCCACCACAGCCCCCCTCCCGTGCGGTGCGCCGAGGAGGGGAGGGGGGAAGCGAGGTGGGGGGCGGGGAGAGGTGGGCAGCCGGACTGGGCTGGTGGGGAAGGTAAGCGCCATGTTTGCCAGCAGCACTGGGAGGAAAAGAAAGCCGGGAGAGGGTGGGGGGGGGGGGGGAAGAGGAGGAGGAAAAGTTGGCGCTCACCTTTTGGACTGGGTCTCGGAGGGGTTCCGGTCGCGCTGCCGGCGGTTTTTGAACCAGTTGCTGACCTGGGTGAGGGAGAGGCCGGTGATCTTGGCCAGGTGCCGCTTCTCGGCGGGCGACGGGTAGCGATTCTGCTTGTAGAGCTCCTTGAGCGCGTTGCGCGACTTCTCCTTGAAACAATACACGGTCTCCTCGCCGTCCCAGATGGTGCGGGGCAGGGGGAACTTCCTGCGCAGCCGGTACTTGTCCACGGCGCCCAGGGGCCGGCCGCGGGCTCGCTCGGCCTCGGTGTAGCGCGCCTTGTACCAGAGCTGCTGCAGCAGCGGGTGGTTGGCCGACTCGAAGCTGTGGCTCTCGAGGATGCTGTAGAGCTCGGGGTAGATGCCCTGGTGGAAGGCCACGAGCGCCCGCGCCTTCAGCAGGCTCTCGTTGCCACGTAGCAGATCGCTCTGGGGTAGGGACCACAGGAACCGGGCCAAGCGGTCCAGGTGACCCCCTTGCTGCAGCGCCTCGCACACGCAGGCGACGTGGTCGGGCGAGAAGGCCAGCGGGG